AGATTATAGAAAAATACGTCACTGACTACAAATTATGACGTGAACAGAAATTGGGACATCTACTTTTCTCTACCAATCTCGCTACATTTTTTAAGTTCGGATACGAGAGATTGACGTTCAGATAAGAGGAGATCGCTTACTCTCCCCATTCCACTACGTTTTTTTAGAGAGACTGGTGTTCGTATTTGTGAATTATTTTGTATGCATATAAGAAATCGTAATGTACTCGTAATTATAACGATCGTACATCGAATATTGGAGGCTCACTTATAAACTCGGATAACTTGAATCGGCTCATGTAAAATGGCATTTCTGTATGAAGTGTACAATGAAAAATATTGAACGTCGAAAAAATTCGTGAGCTAAAGGAATACTGTACTTAAGAAATATGTAAAAATCATTCAAATATCCCTTATCACTTTTTAGAAAAAAATTCAGAAATCGTATAATCTTCAATTAAAATTGTACTCCTGTATAAGCAAGTATTGAATAAAGAATTATAATGCCTTGAATTTGACGTAAAATGAAGAAATCGAGGTCTATGGCTCACTATTTCATAATTACAATGCTCTATCGAATTATCAAAGACGATAGCACATGACAGTTTTCTGATATCAGAAGTTAGCCTTTTACAAAATCGTTTTACACATGTTTTAAACTGTATAAATCTCACGATTAGATTAAGAAACGGTGACGGAAACGCACGATCGATCCCGATCTGTATCGATAGATATCAAAACCGATCCGAGTGAAAAGAATATGAAATGGAGCAATGAGAGACAAACAGGTACTTACGAGGTGCCCTCGCCCGCAAACGTATCGTAATTTCGGTTCCTGGACATGGCCAACAAAGGACTGAACACATTCGCGGGATGTTGCGGTCAATTAAATTATTCTCGGTGGTTTATCGGTGGTCGCTGTCACGAGTCCGCTCGTATCAAGTCATGTGCCTCTTACGTCTTTCACTCCTTGTTTTGTTTAATTTCACTTATTTCCACGCGTGGGACTAACGCGTGTTTTCCGTTTCGCTATGCTATTATATTTATCAATATTCTAATTTCTAATCACTGTCTCTTTTTCTGTAATGTAATAAAACATGCAATTCTAAGTCAATGAGTAGAAAATTGTAATGCGAAGGTAAATTGGAACGTTTACTATGTCATTTAGAATTTCCTTAACAGGTTGCTTTGAATCTTAAGTATCTCCTCAATTTGTATTTTATCATTTTGAAAAAACACGATGCAACGTACACTTTCCTTTTCTGATTGCCATACGAATGGTATTCGTCTGAGAAGCGAACTAATTCTTTAAAAGCTTCCTTTTAATAACACATGTTTATGACCCGGAAACAATTTTGTTGATAGATTCAAGTTCTTTTTCTATAATTTTATGTTCTTAGAATTATAGGAAAATAACACAGTGAGTAGAAATTGTAACGTGAACAGAAATTAGGATATGTACTATATACCTTGTTCGTAAATTTTTTTATTCAATTCTTTTTGTCCCATTTGTTGTGTTTTAACGTTACCTTCATTCTCAGTTCAAGTTAAATTAGTTCATTTTGTTATCTTTATAGCCTATTACCTGTTTACTGTTTTTTCTTTTTTCAGTTTCTTTTGTGTTATTCGTCGTATTTTTAAGTTCCCGTTTGTGTCATTTATTGTTAGTACCTCAAGTTTATCACACTTCTTTTCGTTTTACTTTGTCTATTTTAAAGGGTTTATCTTCGTTAAAATAGAATAATATTACACAATATCACCGATGGTTCGAAATGAAAAACATGATAATAACTCTACCCGTTAGAAATTAGCGAATATATTTTTGCAGCTAGTCTTCAGCCAGGTGTCTTCACTATCAGCAACTCTTCTATTGGTTACATTGAGTTATCGATGTACTCTTATCGATACTCACGACGAAGAGTGAGATCGTGCGAAATATTGATTATCTAACGATCTGAAAAAATTAAGTATGTTACTTAATTTCTTTGTCACTATACATTACAAAATGTTCACTGTTTGCAGTTGATCACCCTGTATAAACATGTTAACGGGGACACTGGTCGAACGGGTTTCCCGTCAGGTGGAAAACCACTGAAACGGTACGCACTCCGAGCCAATTGATCGATTACTTACGAGATTTATGATCTGTCGGTCGTATAAATTACACACGACTATATTTGAACACCGGGGCCATAGTGTATTAAGTCACGCCTTTTAAACCAGAGACTATTCAAATCTTTTCACATTGCAACCCTTGTTAACTTCTTCTAATGCAAATGAAACGTATATCTAGATGCTACTGTTCATAGAAAGTAAAAAAATTTATCTCGTACCTTTCAAAGAACAAAAGCTTGAAGATTAAAAAGCGTGTGAATCAT